TGCCACCCTAAGCATCATCTCTGCAGACACTGAAGCTTTTGTGCCTGTCAGAATCTCATTAGCATATTGCATGCCTTCTGACCATTGTTTTTCCCGTGTAACTTGAGATCCTCGGGTTTGTTTTTGCAGTGTATTCCAGCACTCATAGAAAAAGCAGAAGGTTTTTCCCAAGCATTGACTATGCAACCAACCTTGGAACTCTGCAAGCTGCGACAAGAAGTCTTTTCTGGTTTCAAGGTGAAGGAGGAAAACAATGTCCAAAATTCAGTACCACCAGGAGAAGTCACACCAACAGGAACTGTTTGCAGTAAAAATCCTTATGTTTTGCTGAAAAGAAGAAAAGCTGCAGATTCCCCCGGGAGAAGGCGCTACCCACTGCGGCGGAGGAAGATCACTCTCAGTGCATGAATTTCTCCTTTTGTGTTTTCACATTGGAATCTCAGTTGTACTTTTGTTCCATGTGTCCCACCTTTATTTCTTAGAACTCATCTCCCCTCAGTGCTATACATGGGAGTTTCTTTAATGAGTCTTTGACCTCTTAAATATTTCTGGTTTTGCTGACATGCTGATGATATATGGTACATGTACCAGTAGCATCCAATATCCAGCAAGTGTATTTGCCATTTAACTCATTTTTTGCTCTTATATTGCAGTTTTTAGCTTGAGTCCTTGTGCTTCTCAGAGTTCATGTGCATGCTTTATGTATGTGGGCAGTCTTTTAGGAAACCACTAACTGTTCATTTACATTCAGCGTGTCTCTAAAGAGGTTGGAGAATGTCTAGCTCTCTTAATGCACCTTCATTAATTACTGAGGCATGTGGCTTTTATATTAATGAATTAATTGACACTGCAGCATATTGAAATCACCAAATTTGGTGCAATGTTGGAGTTTTAAGGAAGTCTATGCACACATGTGACATTAATCCTTGCTATCCTACCTTTCCTGAATGTAGGTCATTTAGGCTTATTTATAGTCGTGTTTGTTGAAACTTGGATTTTTAATAATTGTATGTGTTTACTTGCAGTGTGCTCTTCTGAACACGAATTCAACCATCAACATCTTAGGGTCTGATATATCATTTAATGTAATTCAGTTGTGCACCTGGGGTTTTCCTGAGCAATATTTCTACCCAAGAAAGGATCTTGACTTGGGTTATGTTTGCATTTGTGTTGTTTGACTAAACTTTAAAGATCACTAGAGGCTACCAGTTAATGGTATTCACTTGAGCTAGCTTACTTTTGTTTTCTTTACTCATTAGTGCCTAGAATATTGGAAATTAGTACTAAATTGAGCCTTGTGCCTTAACCATTTATAACTTTTTCTAGTTTATGGTTGCATGTGCCTGCAGTAAATACTCCTGTCTAGTATGTAACATATTTGTTACACAGTAAATGGAAGGGGGTTTTAGAAGCTTTATTAATGACATGTTCGGTGCTAAGAAGACAGGTCCAACCTCATGTCTAAGAGACTGAGAGTTCACAAGAAAACAGATTTTAGCATAATTTCTTTTGTAAAAGTGAGCATCTGTACTGAGACTTTGTATATGTAATAATATGTAAATATTTTTCCTGACCTTGTATATACAAATGTGTGTTTTTATATGAAGTAAATTAAATCAATTACGGAAGATCAAAGCTTCAGATAATATTGTCAGTTCTAATCCTGGAATAGATGGTGGCTGAGCAGTGAGCGTACTTCAGCAGACATCTGTGTTAAATTCTGGCTTGAGTAACTGAAGTAGTTCCATTTACTGCCTTTGAACTCACAAGTGTTATTAATCTCAGGGCTGCAAAGCTTATTGGGTGAGAGAGGACAGGATGTGAGAGGGACTGGAGCTGCAGGGCTGTGGGGTGTGTGGCTCAGACTGCTTCTCACACAGCCCCTTGCTATTTTTAGTGCCCGCGCTCTATGCGGCGTTGGAAGTCCCTGCTACGGCTTTCTTCACACGGATCCTGGCTGCTGCTGGGCTAAGGTGAGCCCTGCAAGATTCTGCATGGCCACTGTTACAGTGTTTGGCCATTTTCTGTTAATAGGACCGTTTTCTGCTCTTCTCTGCAAATGACAGGCAAGTACAGAAAATAGCTAGGAATAGGTATCTCTTTGAAGAAGTTCCCTCAGGAATAGCTGGGGTAGGACAAATGCCATAAGAAATTAAAAGGGAAAGCACTGTGGTTTAAGACTTAATAAATAAATTCACACAGTGCATGTTTCTGTTTAGAGACTAAAGGATAGTTGGCCTGCACAGGATTTCAAGTAAGTGGGAATGGATGCTCTGAGTTAGAGCAGTTGGTCTTCTTTTCCATAGCCCATGTTGCAACTGCAATTAGACGGAAGAAGAAAAATGCATCTGGAAATGCTGGCCAAGTGGACTGTGTAAAGAAAAAGATAAAGCAATCAGGATTCCAAGTGCAGTGTATAAACTAGGAATTTGAAAATCTGATGGCTACTTTTGGCCAAGCAACACTGGAAAGAGAACCTTCCTTTAAATGCAAGTTCTGTTATGAGTTAAACTCAACATGAATGTTCAGCAATTTTTCCAATGGTTATTAAAAAGTTCTACAGCCAGTGATACCTGCAACTAGCTGTTCTTCCCATTGGCAGAAATACATAAAACACTTCATTTTTCCCCACTGAGTAGCCTTTTGTCCTTCAGTTAACTTTTCATAGGAATAGGCAGTGTTGTGCAAGACATGTCTAATCAGGCTTCTACTGAAATGTCACAACAGCCAAGCTTCTTATTTTTAACTTGGGGCGAATTGGTATTGCATCAAGAAATGTCTGGTAGTTTTTCTTTATATAGCCTTTGAATTTTGTAAGACAGCTCAATGGTGAGGGATGCTTGGGTTCATTTGCAAACTGAGTTTGAATTTCTTGGCTTTTGGGGGCGGGACAGAACATCTCACTGTTTGTTAGTGTGTCCTGTCTGCAGTGTGCTTTTTGCTCATGAGGGTAGGCCATCCCTGGCCAAGAAAAACTTGCAAATTGGAGCAGCATCCACACATGCTTTTGCTGTGTGTACTTTCTGAACAAAGGGGATTACGAACTGTAAAGAGGAAGCTCCTCTTCCAGAAATCTTCACATGGACCCTGATGTCTGTTTGGAAGCCTGGGTGCTCTGAGACCCAGTTCTGACACATGCCATTCTCCAGGAGAGCCATGCTGTGCTAAGCTATGATCAGAAACCAGTCTGCATGTGTGTAGGCTGCTTCAGTGCAGACAAAAATCAGTGATAAACTGCCGTTATAAAATGTAAGCTCAGCTGACTAAGCTGCTTTCTGGGCTGATTTTCTCTCCTGCACAGAAACACTCTGCCTTTACTGCTGCACTACCTGGAATTACTGTGTAGGCATTTCTACAGATGTACCAGAGATAGCTTTAATACTAAGTAGAAACTTGTTCCCACAAGCAAATTTTGACTTGTCATTTCCTTTGTCATTTGTTCTGAACAAGAACAGACTATTCAGGCTCAAGGGGACTGTCCCCTGGCTTGTCCCATGCTTGTGTTATCCTGGAAACCATATTCTGCAGCTGCTGGGAATTACTCAGTGAGGTGGATATTTACTCAGGACTAATAAATTCTTGGTGAGCTGCTCATGATTTGATGCTGTCAGATAGCTGGTGCAGGTGCCATTTGCAGCAGCATTGCTCCTGGAGCATGGAGTTCAAAGTCCCTCTGTGAAAGGGGACTTACTTTCCCACAGATCACTCCAGAGGGCTGTTGAGGTGTTTTATCCACATGGTTCATAGCAAGAGAACATACCTGTTCCCTGAGCTTATGAAAATACTGCCTTCTAGTCCTGTTTATTTCAACTGAGCTAGAGCTACAAAGGCAGCAAGATCCCAACGCTCTCTTTTTAAGCTAAGTCTGTGTTTGTGCCCTTGTGTACTGCTTCCCTTTAACTGCACGAGGTGTAGTTAGGCTGTTTCAGAGGAGCACTTGAGAGCAATTCACCCTCTAATAGCTCTCTGCCTAGTCCAGGAGGTGCTGGTCTGGATCCCCTCAGCTGGAGAATGGCACTGAACCCACATGTTACTGCTGCCTCCATGAGCAGCCCTTGGGGAACATCCTGCTCTTGGCACATTGGATCACAAAGCGAGAAAAAAGCAAGACTGCATTTGAAGAAACCCTGTGAGATGCTTGGGAGAGACCCAGCACAGTCTGGGGCTGCAGGTTAGGTCAGGGTATATTGGCACTTGTTCTTCCCAGCTGTGGTCACCAGCCACCTCCCCAGGGCTGTTAGGGTGGCAAGACTCACAGGGACTCGGTCCTCCAGGGTTGGAGAAGCTCTTGGAAAAGTGCAAAATCAAATAAATTCATGGATAGCCTGGAGGATTGAGACACAAGCTGCTTTGAGGTGGAACAGCTGGGGAGAAGCACTTCAAACCAAGGAAGTCATGCTCAGGCCTTGTAGTCACAGTCCCAGAGCCTGCCAGGAAACGTGGCAGAGCACAGGCGTCACTGACTCTTGGACTCCAGGGAGCATGGTTCCCTCACCTTTAGTATGAACTGTTAGCCAGATCTTCCCGGAAGGACAGCCTATATTTACTCAGTTTGCCAACTCTATAACTTCATCTAAGCTGGATGACTCAAGCTGCTGAGGAAACCAGAGAAATAGGGAAGTATCAGATTTATGGAGATACCTGGGGCTTTGTGACTGACTGCCCTGCAGTTGGGGGGCACACACCCTCCTCTCATGGCCATGTGTTCACCTCTGTGAGCTGAGCACAGCCAGGAGGGTACAAATCCTTTTGCAGAAGAGCAAGGATGTTGAAGTAGCTGTCAGTGCAAACACCCCCTTTCAGAGCATGAAGCCAAGGTAACTGCAATTAAAATGCAGGAAGGTGTTCCGAGAGGTAAAAGAAACGGTGTTCTGTTAAAATAGTCTCGACAGAATCATGGAAGAGAAAGATTTTTGTCTACAGCAATTGTATTTCCAGCATTTTTTGTCTGGCTTTGCCTTTACAAGAAGTCTGTCGCATTTCCTTATTATTTAAAGGAACAGGGTGAGTAGCGAAAGTGAAAATCGCTTTATCCCAGGACGGATGCTGTGTCCTCACACCCACGATCCCGGGCTGAGCTGGCTGTGCCGCATGTGGAGCTGCCGATGTCGCAGGAGCGCGGCGTGCAGGAGCGGCCGGAGGTGAGCGGCGGGGAACACACGGGCTTCGGGGCAGCCGGGAGAGCACAGAAACTGCGGGGAGTTCAATTCTGCAGGCGAAGGAGCGAGTCGGGCCGCCCGGGGGGGCGTCGAGCGCAGCCGGCCCGCGGGGCTGGGGCTCTCCGGGGGGATTTTCAGGCAGCTCCTGCCCGGCAGCGCCGTGACCCGGACTTTCCGCGGCTCCCGGCGGTCTCGGGGGGCGGTCCCCGCGGGGAGCAGCGCGGGATGGGGCGGCCCGGTGGTCCCGGGTTCCCGGTGCGGGCGGGCGCCATGTGAGGGCCATGTGGGCTCCGGCTCCGCCCCGGCCGCTCCGGCACCTGGCGGCGGCACCCCCGGCCCGGGGCGGTGCGTCCCCTGCCCTTGCGCTCCCTTCCCTCCGCTGCCGGCACTCGCAGCCCCGCGGGCCGGGGGAGCCCTGCGGCGCCGGCATGTCCTGCGCCCTCCCGGCGGCGGCGGCGGCGGGGGCCAGCGCGCTGTCCCGGGGCGCGGCGGCCGAGGGCGGCCAGCAGGTAGGCACCGGGCTGCGGAGGGGCGGGCGGGCACATGGGGCTGAGTCACGCCGGGCAGCGCCGCGCCGGGGCTGCCCCTTGCCCTGGGCATCTGCCCTTCTTTTCCCGGGAGGCGCCGCCGTGCCGGCTCTGCCCGGATGGGAGCGCGGGCGGAGCGCCGGGGCACGGCCGGGCAGCGGCTTTTCCCCAGCCGCGGGCAGCCGGGAAAGGAGCAGCGCTTTCCTGCCCGCTGCTCGCACCTCCGCCCGTCGGCCGCGCCGGAGCGAGGCAGTTGCAAAGCGCTGCCCGCCGGCAGAGCGGGAGCGCCGGTCCCCGCTCGGCTACCCAGCTCCCCCCAGCAGTAGCGATGCCCCTGCGGTCATGGCTCTGCGGCATCCCCGGCAGCCTGCCGTGCCCCAGCTTCCCCCAGCAGTAGCAGTGCTCCTGCGGTATCCCCCGGCAGCCTACCGGCTTCCACCCCTCCGCTTCGGGCCCGCCCGTGCAGCGGGGCCGAGGGATGCGCTGCACTTTACAGGGACCATGCGGTCTCTGGGAAACAGCATCAGCGCTGTAAAGTTGAAAGTGTTCGTTCTCAGAAAGTTGCGCACCCGACTTCGGGCATCTTCTGTGTGTACCTTGCAAACTAGCGAAGTGTTTCTGGCTGGTGTCTTCCAGAGTCGGGAAGAAGATGACAGAAAAGTAAGGAGGAGAGAAAAGAATCGAGTTGCTGCGCAGAGGAGCCGGAAGAAGCAAACGCAGAAAGCTGATAAACTTCACGAGGTGAATGGGTACTTGGTGCTTTGCAGGCATGGCTTGGGTACCAAGCACGGGACTTTACAATAAACTGGAATTATTAAGCAGGCATGGGCCTGTTTTCACACAATCCTGCTCAGAGAGCTGTGGGTGTGAGGCACTGAAAGCGTGCTATGGGATGCCTGGTCGGGTACTCCAGACAGTGATGCTGCTCTTGGACAGTGCAGCTCTGCCTTCAGTGACACTGCTAGGAAGAGAGAGACATGGTCCAGCCCTTGCCTCATCCTCCCTCTTTTGCTCTTCCTGTGACCCCCAAAGAATGGGATCACAGGGCTCCTTTGGGCTAAACCAGAACCATTTTCTTCTGTAACAGTGTTAAGCTTGTCACGTTTGCTGTGACAGTGGATGAATTCTTGTTGTCTTACAAGGTAGAAGGTGATGGAAGAGGAGGGGAACATGCAGTGTCAATGCTGGCTTAAATAAATTCTAGAACTGAGGTGTCATCAACAGGGTTCCCAGACATGCCCAGTTGAAAAAGCTTCTTAGGAACTTGGGAACCTGTAAGTGTGAGAGCTCGACTTGGCTAGCTGTTACACTTGTATGCCTTGAAAATAACAGTGGGTGCTCAAACAGATGAAATGAAAGTAATTGATTCTTGAAGAAGCTCTTCATATCACAATCTGGTGTGCTTTTCTTGTGTGCCAGTGCAAACACTGGAGGACAGGGATCCGTTTTCTCTGATGGATGTTAGCTCACACCACAGTGCTCTTGTAGCCAGGTGTCAGCTTTTGGGGCAGGTGTCACTTTTGCAGCACAAAACTGACTGCCACTGTGGCTGAGTCAGTTGCTCAGCTCTGAAGGTTCATCACGGGCTTTTTTCTTTCTCACTGTGGAAGGATTTGCCAGCAGTTAGCAGAGACTAAGAGGGACAGTGTGGGGAGTTTTGGGCTTGGTTTTTCCCAGATCTCCTCTGAGTCAGCGCCTGAGAAAGCCAGGTGCAGGGTAGTTCTGAAAAGGGGTAACCCCTGGCTTTTCTGGAATAATTTTTGGGCCCTGTGCCATCCTGCAGCCTATCTGTGTTCCTGCTGAACTTGAGGATCTTCCTCGTGCTGGGAATCTTCATTTTGAGGCACACAGGTTTTGCCAGCTGTGGGCACATCTGGTTGAATGGACATTCATTCTTAACAAGAACAACGTGACAGTTTCACCCCTGAAAATGAGACTGAGCAATGGGACAGCAGCATTTATTCCAAAACCCAGGACCATGGGGTTTGGGCAAGAAGAGATGAGCAGAATGACGGTGGGGGTAGGACAGCTTGGCTGGAGTTTGGCTCCAATGCTGTGCGCTGTGTTAGGAGGACTGTGCCTGTTTCACTCTGTGAGAGGTGGCTCAGGGGTGTGAGGGAGGACCAGGGGCCCAAAGTTCTGCAGCAGAGGGGAGCAGAGGCAGTGCCAGGCTGCCCAGAACAACATTGCATGAGAGGCTCTCCCTGCTGCGTTTTCAGGCACGTGTAGGCTTTGAAGTTTGCTCTGGAGCTTTCCCAGGGAGGTGAGATTGAGTGGGTGGATGTTGAGCCTTGGGCCAGCAGTGAGACATCCATCTGCAGGTTTTCAGTGGGCTGGCCCTGAACCTCCAGCTCTCTGCTCTTTGGGATGGGAAGGCTTAGAAGCAGGGACACTTGAGACACACAGTTATCAAAAAATGTGGCACAGGAGTCTTGCATCCATCACATGCATGCTGCAGAGTAACTCAGAATTCCTCTGCAGTTAACAACAGCTTGTTTATTGCCAGAGAAGCCTTAGCTCAAAAGCAGCCAGGTCAGGGATAACCAAAGGCAGTGGTCTGGCCTTCTGGTGACAGAATGAGTCTGGCCTCAAGTTGGCATGATGCTTCCCTCCTCCTGAGTTCTCAGGCTTCTCAGAAGGTGGCTACAAGCTCTGGCAGGCCTGGAGGAGAGCACTGGACATGCTGTGCTAGCCTGGATAAATGGCTTTTCCCTGCACTGCCCTGGGGCAGGGGCTGCCCTTCTCTCACCAGCAGTGCCAGGCACTGGGTTGGGTTTTCCCAGCACCTCTCAGCAGTCAGTGCTTTCATTTTCTCTGATCTGACCGTGCAGAGTCCGTCTTGGCCCTTCCCATCAGCGGCAGCCTGGGGTGGGAGAGGCCACCGGGGGACACAGCCATCCCTGCCTGCAGCCCTGGGCTCCTGGGGATTGAGGGCAGGTGGCACCTCCTGCTCTCTAGGGCTGTGAAAGGAATCCCAGTGGGCTCAGGGCACAGGTTGTAAAGCACTTTCCCCTGTTCCAGCACCCAGGCTGGGTCTGTCTTTCTCTTAGCACTTCGTAAGTTGTACTAAGAAACCACACTGTTTTTCTACTGTTATGTGAATGTGCTCAAGGTGGAAGCACTGAAAGGAATGTTTTGACTGTAAGTTGTTGTTTTTTTTCTTTCCCCTCCTTCCAGGAATATGAGTCTCTTGAGCAAGAAAATACCTCCCTGAAAAGAGAAATTGGAAAGCTAACAGATGAAATGAAACACTTGAGTGAAGTGTTGAAGGATCATGAAAAGATCTGTCCACTATTGCACTGCACCATGAACTTTGTGACCATACCAAGGCCCGATGCACTTGCCAGCTGCCTACCAAGATGAGTGCTCTCCTCAATCACCTCTCAGTGTGATGTGTGAAAGTGCCATTAACAGGAGGTTTCAAGAGCTGCCTAGTGTGCAGTTCTCCCATTGAAGAGGGCTGGACTCGACCGCGCAGCTCTACTCCACAATGAATTGTTACAGTCTTCTGAATCTCAGGAAAACACCAGCATGGAAAAAAAGACAATTTGAACAGCAGCTTCTAACTTGGTAGACTCTTCAAGCCATGGTTTTGCCTTTGGAAATGTCAAAGTGCCATGCAGCTCACTATGGATCAATGGAGTGTAGATAGGGAAAAGTACCAACCTCAGCCTGGGATGCCTTCCTCCCACACATCCACTGCCAGTAACCCTTTGTCACTTGTCACCCATGCCTGTCATGATCTGGCTGCTGGGTTTTATCTCTCTAAACAGGTTTGGTTAATAAAAGTGATGTCTCATCTCTATAATGTTCTCTACCTTCTTCAATAATTCATGTCTTTATAGTATCTCTGCTTTTTATTTGCTGGTCAATGCCAAAGTCTAATGCTAATTTTACTGTTCTATTATTTACTTATCACCTCTTCATTGGTTCCTCTTTTGAAGTGTGTGTAACAAAAGAGTTTTCTTAGTCTTTAATATTCCAAATCATCAGCCCTGCTGCCATTAGTCCTTGGAGTGTTTTATATCCTAAAATATGGCTTGGTCAGTTTCTGATGGTGATTGTCTGCTCGGTGTGGAAGAAAAGCAAACAGAGTTTGATGGTTTTAAACATTGTTTTAAAAAGCAGATTTTAAAATTTACTCTCTTAATGCACCCACTGAAAATTAACAAGTATCTTCATCCTTCCTTCATCTTGCTTATTGCCTCTGGAAGATTTTGTCTGTGGATTGAGTTTTGCTAAGCATTTTGTTCTATGTCCACACTGAAGGTGTTTGATAATTGCTTGAAAGAAAAACATTCTCTTTTTCTTTTTGGTTACAAAAAGGAAGTACAATTGCAATGTTATTGAGAAATACACAGAAAAATGTGTTTACTTTCTCTGAAGATTCCTAATAGTGTCAACCTCTTGAAATGTGGATGCTGTATCTTGGGAACCAGCAAAGAGTCTTTTTCTTACAGTATTTCACAGTCAAAGAGCACCTTTGGATAATAAAAATCTCCTCCCTATTGCTAACTCTCTCACTTCAGCATTTGGAATTTTTTTTCAGTTAAACTCATGGGATTAATTTCTCCCCTCACCAGGATCACAGTATTTATCAGCAGAATATGATCTGAAATGTCTGGATGTTCATTTTTTTAAAACTTTTTTTTTTAAAGTTTCTTTAGTAGAATGGTGCATTGCTGATCACTGCCAAGACAGAATTTGGAGAACCATGCAGTCAACTCTGCCTTCTAAAGGGCCCTCTTGTACCATTGTCTTAGGCTAGAAACTCCAGATGAGCTGTTGGCTTCTTTAAGTTATGTGTTAGGTTGTTCCCAAGAGAATTTCCAGAATTTGCATCTGCAGCCTAAATGCTCTCTTCGGAGTTCCTTATGGTCCCGCAAGAACTCAGTCATCCCACAGAGAGAATCTGCTGCAGTCCCTCCCTAGGAAAACCAAAGTCTCAGTACAGCTCAAGATTCGAATTCTGGGAAATGCCCTTGAAACTGTTCAGTGTGTCACCCTTAAGAATGGAAGCTGTCCTATGAATATTCATCCACACACCACATTCCCTCAGGCACTGGGTGCCACTGTGTAATCTGGGCAGAGTAGAGGTGTAATGGAGAAGGAGTGGCATGGTGGAAATGAACAACACTCACTCTGGCAAAACTTGTCACAATTTAGGATGAAGGGAGAGAGGGAATGTTTCACATCTCTTAACTAGGTGTGTGCAGCTGACTGGAAAGTATCTCATTGAGGTCAGGACTGTACAAAGCTGGTCTCACATATGGAGCTCTGTGGACCCTCAAAAATGGGAGGAAAGATCAACTAGTCCAAGACAGTCCATCCCACAGAATCCTTCTAAAGACACTTGTTCCACAGATGCTCTCTTCTAGAAGTAGAAATCTAGTTCTCTGTGTGAAATCCTGCTCCTTACACATGTATTCTTCTAAACATCTGTCTAGAAACTGACTCCAGCTTGTCACTTGGTGTCATATCCAATTCTGTGGCAGACTCCGCATCAGTAAGAATTGTTCTTGTTCTGCAGTTAAAGTTCTGCAGTTTTAATCCGTGGTCTCTGCACTGGATTCATTGCTGTATTAATTGTACAGTGTCTATGCAGAGTGTACAGGGGAAGACAGCAGAATTCCCAGCAATGTTGTGTGATGGAGACAGCAACCTGAGTCCAAGAATATGCTGCTGTTCCTTGGAAGGGCTGGGAGCCCTGTGGGAGCCCTCACTGTCCTCACTTTTTCCCCACAACCTCAGGGTACAGCTCCAGCTCTTCCTGTGCATCATGTCCTTTAGTAACAGTAGGGCATGGGTTGCTTCTTCCTCCATCTCTTGCATCACTTTTTTTCCCAGGAATATTTCCAAAGGGCCTTTTGCATCATTCTATTTGATAGAGGCACTAAGGCACTTCACCAATCAGTATATTGTGCGACTAATGTTCAAAGGCAGCTGGGAACCTCTAGTAAAAGAAGTGAGCAAAATTAGTATCCCCAGCCACTTAAGTCCAACATTCTGGTATATTTATAGAATTAATGTGATAGCTGAATCATGAGATGACAAAGACCATGAGCTGTTTAAAGGCTTCTATGTCCCTGCACATACAGATTATGCTTTTTGCACGAGCTGTTCGTAAAGATATTGATTTACAGGAAACTTCAAAACAGAAAGTGTGTTCTGGAGCCTGGGATAATTTTTACATGAATAGGGAACCAGAAAGGAGAACAGAAAGGAAAAAGGCCATTTCTTAAGGAAGCAACAGAAAATTCTTTTTCAGATCCAAACCTCTCATTTTGCAGCAGTGTTACCCCATGAAAAAAAAAAGGTTTCACATCTATATATGGCTAAAATCCCACTTGATGTACTGTAGCTTCAAAAAGCTTCCAGTTGGCTTGACTTGTTCCCCACAAAAATGTGGTCTGTATCACATCCACATGATTTTCAGATGCAGATGAATAGGGAAGATATTTTCTATATTCAGATCAGGGTTCATGTGAGGTGCACTGTCAACTGCAGTCTTATTTGTGGATGTGTCATGTAGATGAGGGTTGCTAACAAAGCTGGATTTTGCCTCTTAGGTTCATAGTGAAGGTTACAGTTTGTCTAGATTCAGTTTGGATTTCTTTTTTTTGCATTTTCTATGAGTCTAATGAAGAAGCAAAGTGCATCCTACAAACTTACAGACAAAAATATTTCTTCTAGGAACAGACTGGGTCCAATTCAGCTATTTATCTATTATTTTCTTTTGGGTTTAGTTGGGTCAGATTAAAAATGATTATATTTTTAAAAGTTAATTTTAGCCTCCAAAGCTAAAAAAATCAACAGAAAGGCAAGGTCAAGCTTCCCATTACTGCTTATGTGACAGAGATCAATTGTTGTACCTCAGGAGAGCTTATTAGAAAGTCTTGCTCCTTCTCACTGGTATTTCACATTTATGCCTGTGAACATTTATAAGTGCCTTCATGTACTTATCCAGTTTCATTGAAAGTACATATTTTAAAAAAATAAATTAAATCAGCCAGTTCTACAGACTTTGTGTTCTTTGCCCTGGTACCAGTTACTGTAATTTAGTGCTCCTTCTGCAATGCCTCCTGATCTCATCTGCATTTGGTACTTTCACTAGCCTTTGTAGTTCATTATTTCAAATGCCCTTTTTTTTTCTTCTTCCTGTATCCTTCTGTTTCCACACAGCTTGGTGAAACTTGCCTTAATGGAATCAGTTTTACAGGATCAAGGCTGATCTGTAGGGCCACATGGAAATTGCACTTCACTTGTATACCCTGTATGTGTTTAAAGGCTCTGATGTGTGCCTTGTTTTGTCACACAAGTGTTAAGGAAGGTGTCAGTGCTGTCTTTTAAAAAGTACTTGAAGGTGGCATAACCTTTACTGTAGCCTATCAAACCCATGCTCTTTCCTGTCCATAGATGAATGCTTTGCTGCTTGGCATTTGGGGTTTCCATCTGTGAATCAGTCTTGAATTTCAGTCTCAGTGAAAGTGATAGATAAAACAACCATTAAAAAAAATCCCTTTTCTTCCCATCAGTGCAGTGATATAATTCCTGTTACAGGAAGGAAGCATGTCTGATTAGCAGGAGAAGTGGGGGGTTTATCTTCTGTCACAAAGACTAAATGTTATTCTCTTTATAGGAGGGGAGGAATTTTCTGTTTGTAAACCCTGGGTTACTGTCAAGTGGTCATTGGAGAAACATTTTAAATGTACAGAGAGCATGTGGTATGGGCACACATCCAAAAGGGAGGGAAAGAATGTGGGTTCATTCTTTGCAGAAATGTGGGATTTGCCTCGATTTCACTGGAAGTAGAAACGGCCCTACAGCTGCCTCAGAGGACATGCAGTCCTTTGCTTACTCACTTGGGTAATATTTAACTCAAGAATAGCCACAGGCTCACTGGAAGTGGGTACTTCTTAATAAAGAAACTGTAGTAACAATCATCCCTGGGATTGCATGCTCCATTTCTGGCATTCTTTCAAAAAAAGGTATTTTTTTCCTACATAGCTCCCATGGAAAAAAACTGTAATGGTAGAGTAGGAATCTTTTCTCACTGCAGAATTTTGAAATCATGACATCAAATGTATTGTGAAAATAACTGGCATAGCTTTTGCAAATAACTTGTTTCCTGCTAATTATGAGTTTGGTCTGCTGTAAAGGAATCATTACTGTTCTCTTTAGAAGTGGAAAAACTTAACCACAAAGGTCTTGGTGTAGAATAAAAACATTGGTTTGTGAAGTCAGTGCTGAATGGCTTCCATGCTCCAGTGTCACAGCTTATCTCATCCTGAAGCAGTTTCTTCATGGAGCCGCAGAGAAAATGACATCTGTAAAACCTGTGTTTGCTTTAAATTTGCAATAGGAGAGCTTTTATTGTATGTGTTTAGAAAGTTCTACAGGCTGCTGGCAGAGCTTGCTGCACCCCTCTGGCTGCAGTCCAGTGAAGTCTGCCCAGACCATTCCCCTGGAACACAGGGTGGGTACATCTCCAGTCAGGTGGAAAAGCTTTCTCCTTTCACTGTCACATAATGAGCTTATTGTCATGTTTTCATTATTCTAAATTATTAAAATATCAGAGCTCTTGACATTCTAAGCAAGGGTTGTAAGTATTCTCCCTTGGGATAAGCAGATTATTAAAATTTGTCTTCCCATTGTAAACTGAATCTTGAGAGTACTAATTTATTGTCTGTCTCAGGTAAATAATTGACAATAAGGAATAAGCAACAAGACACTGCTTCAATATTTGATGCAATGCCATATAAGATACGATTGCTTCAGCTGGAGAAGTTGTGCAAGAATTGAAAAATAGGACTAGCTATTGAAAAAGTAGAATTAGCTGAAGGAAAATGGCAAAAGTTATTTTTGAAAAGCGAGCTATTAGGCTAAGAAATTGTTTATAAGTGGAGGTTCTCAAGGATTGATCACAGACCTCTCTTGTTTAGTATCTTTGGTAAAGACTTTGGGTACAAAGGGACCATTACTACAGGAGAAAACTGAAATATCCTGCAAAAGAGACTGCATGACCATGCAGAAGGGAATAGAAATGCCATTATTCATAGAATCATGGGACAGCCCATGCTGGAAGGAACTCTGAGAGATCATCTGCTCCAGCTTTCTGGGGACAAGGGAACCTAGATGACATTATCTAGCATCCTGCCACAATGCCAAGTGCAGTCACACACTTGGAGAACAATTCACAAGAATTTCTGTCACAAGATGGGGACTCCTGAGTTGGAAATGCCAACAGAAGGAACAGCAAAAGCACATTAGCAACTGATGCTGAGGCAGCAATGCAGTGGAGCAAAAAGAAGGAAAACAGGCACTCAGATGCACAGTGATGGGGCTATTTCCTTATTTGTCTATCTGTGTGCTTAAAATAGAACTATAGAATAGAAATATCAATGTAATTATGTGAGAGCCTGGCCAGACCGCATCTGAAATACTGTGCATATTTCTGCTCAACCATGGTAAAGAAAGGTGAACCAAAACTAGTACAGGCACACAGAAGGGCTACTGGAGGGTTAGGGGAATAAAGAATTTTTTTTCCAGAGACAAAGTCTGCAAAGTGATGGGATCATTGTCCATGTAACAACATCAGAGTAAAAATCGTGTAAGGGCTGTCATAGAGAAGTAGTAGTGTTAGTAGAAGAATAAATAGGTATAACCTGTTCTTGTTTTTGAGGTGTATATGTGAATAAGTTTCTAGCTGTCAGAAGAAAGACATCAGAAAGTCCTCCAGCAGAGATGATGCACATGAGCAATTTTGTGGGTTGGCATGTGTGTGTGCAGCCCACTTGGTTTTGGGATGAAGGTCGTGTATTTCATGTGGGATGAATTGAGTACACTGCGGATCCAAAATATTTCCTCTTTCCCCATGTCCTTATTCTCTTTGGAGAAGGCTTGCAATTGAACTTTAAAAGAAAGCAGGTCTCAAAACAAACAAAGCAGTCCCCTAAGAGTTCTTTATCCAGAAATGCATTTTCACAGGAGGTCAGATGTAAGGTTTTGTCAGAGGAAGAGTCTCCTACCAAATTGAATTCTTTGATTAGATCCATATAAGGAAAGAGCAGAAAAAGGGGGAGTTTTCTAAATGCCTACCATTGAACCATGATATGTTCCCAGAATAAAAAAATAAAATAGAACACTGTTCACAGAGAACAGAAACAAAATCTACCAGGAATTTGGGGAATTTCCCAAGCTGTTTAGCTGTTTACTTTAAAAGCTGAGTTACTCCATCTCTGCAAATATGCATTTCACAGAAGATTGCGGGCCATTTTTGTTTGTCTTACATCCAGTTCATTGATTAAATATATAAACAGGATGTCTTTAAGAGCAGAAAGTTTTAAAACAGGATTTGATACTAAGCAAGAGCTCTTTTAGTTCCCTTTTAGCTATTTGAGTTTCATCTTTGCTTATCAGAGCTGTTTTAGGGCACAGTAATTTCCAAGTGCACTATTGGGTGCGAGGTAAATAATCTCTAGAGATGAATTTTTTTTTCTTTCATTTCTTACAGTAAATGACAATAGTACATAAGCTAGAAATTTCCCTTGTAAATTCTGGTCATCCCATTTGTTTGCTAAGTTCCAGTATGGACCCAGGATCTATTCTGTCAGTGCACTGAGAAGTTAACCACCCTTGCTCATCCCTCTCTAGGGGCAGCTGATTCATCAGCTCTGTTGAAGGGCTTGATTATTAGCCAAGAGCAATCAAATTTGAAAGAGCCTTTTTAATCATACAGGTGAGGAAATTGCTGACCACAGCTTAGGCATTGTCCTGTTTTCCAGGTGAGTGAATTGTGGAGGGAGCCTTCCTGTGTGTGAGCCTTTGTCCTGCTGGTGCTTCCACCCTCCTTCCGCCTGCAGTTCCAGATCCAAGCGGCTGAGCCAGCCCACGCAGAGCAGCTTGCAGCAGGAATAGCATCTTCCAGGGGACACAGCTCAAGCAGAGGAGCAGAAATGGGCATATGGGTGATTGAGGGCTGTAAAACAAAGTTACATAACCAGCCAGGCTTTTTATGAGAAATGCTGAATGGCACCCACATCCCAACACACCTGTATTTTTACTGTCTTGTTAAGACATTGTGTAATCAAAATATTTTCACTCTAAATTATTAGATTATCAGCTTTTTATATAATTTTGATTGATATTTTGCAAAGCCATATATTCCACTTAATATGAAAAACAATTCTCACAGTTTCCACTATTTTTTTTCCATCATTATTTGTTTGGGGTTTTCTTCTGTACACCTCCAACGACAAATTCACAAAACAACATACATTTGTAGATAATTACTTTGATACCAAATTATACATTTTATAATGTTCAGGAAAAAGAAATTATTTTACTTTTTAAGTAGCAGGTGTATGCATTCAAAAGAAAAACCAGATTATATGTTTTCAATTTCACTTTTATCTCAATATCTGATATCAGATGCATATGCAGAGACTCTTAGCTGTCATTATCTTGGTTTGCTCTCAAAAATTTGAGGTATATACTATTACAAATGATAACACAAGGATATTAAACTGTTGCATTAATAAATTAGTATATGTTATTATTAATAAGCAATATTTATTAATAAAAATCTCATTCCACATCTGCTGCTTGTTTTATACTGAAATAGTGTTTTATATGAAACAGTAACATTTCAAGAGCAGTGATTCAGTTACTGAATGTAAATTAAAAATAGTAATGAGTAAGAAAGCAAAAATCTATCCCAAGTGGATACACAGAGTCTTTACTTTTTGTGCACAGGAACATTCCAATTTTCCTAACAATACCGACTTTTCTTTTCTTTTATGCTATGCATCTTCAAATCCTGTTTAATAAACAAATGTTCTTAATTTAGGCCCACTGTGCTTTGCAAGGTACATTTCTGTTTGTCAGTTATATCTCTTCCCAGCACCATCTGCCCATTTTGCCTAGCAATACAAGTTCTTCAGGCAGGGGGGTTTGTTGCACTGAGTAGCAATTCAGGGAAATGCTCCAGTACTTTCCTGGTTTTTCCATGCCCTGATACACCTGAACAAAACTCCTCTGCTTTTACTCATGCTATCTCATGCAATAATGATGGTTGTGGGAACATCAAGCTGTATCATGTAACCTGGACAGGTTGGTTCTGTGTTTCATGGACTGAGGCTTCCTAATAATTCAGGGATGATTTCCAAAGCCTCTTATCTTTTTATCAGCCATTTGCCCTGCCTGTGACAGCTGATCCCCTATATGAGTGTGCTTTGATTTATTTTTCCTTACGATCCCTTAAGAATACATTGTGCCTGTTCATGCTTGGCTCAGGTTGTGATATTTCAACTGTAATAATTCATTGGGATTTTGTTCTCTCTGTACTGAAATGCTTTCTTAGCTACAACAGAATCACGTCCATAGTTAGTGTATATATATAGTGTAAATATATGTAGATAGATAGATAGATAGATAGATAGATAGATAGATAGATAGATAGATAGATATAATGTACATTTTGAGGAAATTTACACTACTTACACAAATTGTGTAAATTTCCTCAAATTATCTCTGCTTTTACTTGGATCCCTTTCACCACTAGGCTCAGCAAGACTCTCATCAGCCACAAAAGGCAGGCCATGGAATATGGCATCTCATTTATAGAAACTACCACGTGTTAAAAAATGTCCTGCAGCTCATTGAAGAAACTCCAGCACCTCCATAAGGTATTGTCCGAACCTACTACTCTGTTATAGCAGCAGAGCCTGGTGGGTTATGCCTCCATGCGAGAAACAAAACAATGCAATTTTCTGATTTGGGGTTCCTTCTTGTTGTTTATAGGCTGGATTCCCTGCATTATATCTCTTCTCTCTCAAATGATTTTGTGGCATGCAATGTTTGCCAACACAATATTAAACGGTCCCCAGACACCATTTAAACTCGCTCGTCATATTTTCTACACTATACCTCACTTTGTAATTACTGCCTCCCACTGCCAATAATTCATGCCCTCCAGAAGGCCCTGTTTAGGTCTGAGTAATAAAATACTGAGAGATTAATATTCAGTTGATGACAGATCATTTAATGCAACTCCTGACAAAGCTCTCCAGCGTCTAGGAAATTGGCAGAACAGGGCTGATGGCTGCCTTCTGATGTCATTCAGTTAGCAGCCCAGGGTTAGTTCTCTGGGGTTATTCTCTGGAGTTTGATGGAGCAGACTTCTTTCCAGCCTTCAGTCCACTCAGGGAATTGTATGAGACAAATTTAATTAATGTATATTTGGCATGAAAGTGGACTTTCTTCGTTTGCAAAAAAAGATTTGCATTACTGTTACAGCACTGCAGTTAGCAAATTTAAATATTTTAATTTAATTGTGTGCTGATATTCCCAGTGAGGGCAAAAGAGATGCATGCACGGATCCATATTCAGGCTGTGAAGCTGCA